TCACGGAAGCATACCCTGCTTGAGGACTATATGCTTTACCAGTGATGGGCGTTCCCATATCTCTCCATTACTTATTGGTCAATGTCATATTTTCTTTTATTTTTATTATTGCCATAAATATTTATTACTTCTTTATTTCTTCATTACCTTGTTCTTTATTTATATACTTACATGCTCCACTTCCATATACTAACCTGCACCATTCTCACTCATTTCAAATCGCACAGTTTAAGCATCATCAATATTTGGGTGATCAGTCCAATATTGACAAAACTTAGTAACTAAATCATTCGTATTTACACGTTCGAACATTCCTTTCTTCCGTTCCTCATATCAATTACATGCTTTCTAATTTTTGTACGACTTTCACGACTTTTTGTATGAGATATCATTCTTATCAATAAATTTTCTTTGTCGGTGTTTAACTTTTTTTTTTGAAACATTATTCTTAAAACCTCTCTTAATTATTTTATTCCTGTTTACGCTGTTATTTATTTATTATTTTCATCTATATAACAATATTATTATCATTTACACATTTATTTTCCTATACATATTATTTTTATCGCTATTACAATGTTGTTGTGATTTATCATACACCTGTTCATGTGTTGCATGTTGCTGTGTTTAGTTTAAATTTATCATCTATGTTACTATGTTTTTTTTATAAGATACGCTCATTGCATAACATTTTATAATATCATATTTTTAGAAACATCAGTATCATTCTTAAGAAATGGTTAGCAAACCTTTTATATTCACTGTGTAAAGATTGACTCTTGTTATATTTACCTAACTAACTAAACTAACTTACTTACTTACTAACTTTCTTGTCTTTCAAAAGAAATAAAAAAAGTGTTATTTTAGCCAGAAAATATGAAAAATATAGTTGATAATAAACGTTAAAATAATCGCATCGTATGATCGTGCCTAATGTCAACTTAACGTGTACAATTTGTTACTACATAAGTAGTAGTACTCATATAAATGATAGCGAGTAAAAAGATGTAGCTTAAACTGATATTTTTAATTTCTTATTTATTCAGAAGTCCACATGGTTACATCGTTAAAAGCTATATCACTTTTATATAGATCGAAAAATATTACCGAAAGTATATTAATTATTATGTCGTGTATACAGAATAATTAAAAATCACATTATAAGAGTTATCAACTTTACTTAACGATACATTAATTTATTTAAACATTTAAAAGAAAGTTTCTTATATTTTACATAAGTTATTATATAAATTTAAGATTTAATGCCTTAAAAAAAATTAAAACTTATAATGATAGTGAAATGTTTCCAACCCTTTAAAATTTGGATTCGAAAAAAATCAACGAAATGTATCACAGTGTTATTTTAAATCAAGTGCGTAAAATTGGAAACTATTATTTTATTATTTCATTAATTGTTCGGCAGGACACAGTAAAAAAATAATACAAAACTATAACTGCATAAAAGGGGATATAAAGTGGTCTTGCGCCTTAATAGAAGTGCCACATAAGTGCTTAAAATTCAACTTAATTTTTAATATTGTATTATAATTGTTGTTTTTTTTTTAATTGTAAGTAATAAAATATTTGATAATGAAGTATATTGTGAATAATGTGATAAATAATTTCAATCAACTTAATTATATGTAAAATACAAAATATTTAATATTTAACTTTAAAACATAATAGAAAAAAAACAATCTCAAATTGTTAAATAAAGTTTGAAATAGAATTAAAATCACATAGGTGCGAAGTTACCTCATAATTTGTTCTTTTCGGCTCAGTTTTTCTATCTTCTTAACGGCTAAGGCTTGCGGACTTAAGTTTCTTCTATTTTTCTTAAATTTGTGGTCTCACCATCTAATTCGTTTAATCTTCATATATATTTGAAGCTGTCATAATATTTGTTTCTGAAGTTGATCTTTCCCGTCTTTTCCGTAACATTTTTCTTCTTTTTCTAATAGATTTTATTAGCATATCTCGTTAAAGATATAATAACCTTGTCGCCTCTTCTTATGTCTCCGTTTCGGCTTACTTGTCATATCCGGTAGTGTCAATTCAATAATTGAAAATTATTCCTTTAGTTTTATATTAATTTTTCAATTTTTCTTTAAGTATTTATGCAGGCCGCGGCGGTGCGCGTGCATTGTCGCCGCGCACCGCCTGGCAGGGTCGCCATGTAATGTTGTGGCACGAGAGAGAAATGAAAGCTAAGACTGCTGAATAGATACTTAATATATTTGCAATAATCAATCCTTAAATAGTTACAAGTAGGTTACATTGTGTATATGTTTATATGTAATATGCCTATATCTATTCCTTACATCTCAAGACTGTGTATTAAAAAGTGTCCATAGAAAACCGTTAAATAAGGGTGGCGCCACTACACCTACGGGCTAAATTTTAAAGAACGTGCCGAAAAATATTAGTGGGATAGACGACTTTTTCGTGGTTATATTTACTAAATAAAATTAATTTTAGAGCTACTGAGCAGTTTAGCAGCACACTTCAAACCATCGACAACTGCTAAGTTCATTTCATCCCAGTAGCTACTCCAGCGCTGTTGTGGAGAGTTTTTGAACTGTTGTTTACCGCTTACAGATGGACACTTTTTCGACTATTCTACCATGGGAGTTGGTACTCCTTACTTCTAAACTCCATATTTTCGAGATCGAGAATTCGAGACGTAGACACAGAATCTCTGTCTACGATTCGAGACCACTGCTTAGGGATGTCGATTCTTTCCGAGAAAGATCGATTATTAAATCGATTCTAAATTAAATCTGATGAACAGGTTCACAAATAAATCGAGGTCTTAAAAAATCGATTTCCCAAAAATCGATTTTTTTCGATTTGCTTTCAGATTCGTATCCAAAGTACACACTACAAACGTAACTTACTTTTTATATCTTTATCCATTAAGAAAAGGTGAAAGAAACTGAGTACACAGCAGTTTTGCCGTTTTTGAATAGAAAAACTGTCATTCTTTACGAGTTTGGGTACATTCAACCACAAACTAATAAGAGTACTAACGTACATTCAACTAATTGTAAATAATTTTATAGTTCTTATGAAAACCGAAAAAGATTCAATCTTGATTTCCTACGGTGAAATAACGATTCACAGGATAGATTCCATACTATATATCGATTAAAGATCGATTTTTAGAGAGAGACGAAATTTTGGCACAAGAAATCGATTCTTCGATTAATCGATCTCAGATCGACATGCCTACCATTACCAGCTACCTAACCTATGTTGCTATTTACTATTAAACAAAAAACAACCACTGATTACCACGAAGAAATGAATGCTACTACATTTAACCTTTAGCCGCAAGTTACAACCTACACATGCCACCTATACCTTAGCAGGTTTTGAAATAAAGCGCGTGTCAACCATTAGAGATCTTGACGTGACATTTGACTGCGGATTGACTTTCCATGCACACATGCCTGCCCTAGCTTCAGAATCTTACAGACGCCTAGGTTTTGTCTTACGCAATGCCCGTGATTTCAATAATCCTATTGTCATCAAATTATTATTTAACTGTCTAGTTAGAAGTAAGTTAGAATTTGCTGCAGCCGTCTGGAATCCCCACGAATCCACATATGAATTGTTGATTGAAAAGGTTCAGAAAGCCTTTCTGCGTTTTTTATATAAGAAAATTTACGGATATTATCCATTTATGTATCCTACTCTTTTCTTGCTGGGAATGTTAGGATATAATTCCCTTTCAGTGTGTAGAGCCAGAGATCAGATCCTAATAGCCATAAAAATTTTAAGGAGCATGGTAGATTCCCCAAAGCTGCACAATACTTTGTGTACACTTTATGTGCCTAACAACTACCTGCGTCATAGGCCTAGTCGACGACACCGGCTGTTCGCCACATCCTATTGCCGCACTGTGTCGCGCGCGCAATCCCCGTTGTGTCGCATGCATGGTGCTTTAAACTCCTTAATGGAGACAGTCCCGGAATGTGACATCTTTAATGACACACTCAAGGTGATCATTTCAAATTGTCTCATGTTATGTGAAAGCCATGTTTGTTAGGTAAATAAGTTGTATTTTGTTATTACTTTATTCTGTTTTATATTATTTTATTTCCTCTAGTTATTGTTAAGTATGTTTGATCTCTGACTTGTTATTTGTTTTTGAATTATGTTAATTATGTTATATGTTTACCTATTAATTACTGTCATTGGCGAAAGCCGTTGTAATTAATTATAAATGAATTATAAATTATTATAAATTATTTAAAGAGTAGTTCCAGAACGTGCTGCTGCCCCGCCTCCCAGAGCCTTCAGTTATATTTATGGATAATGCCCCTTACCATTCGGTACAACTGCTAAAAGCACCGACCCAAGCTAACAAAAAAGGAAATGTGGTTGCTTGGGTACAAGAAAATGGTATTGATGCAAACATGCAGATGTTAAAAGCAGAATTAATGAAATTAGTTAAAGAAAATAAGCCTCAAAAAGTAAGATACGAAATCGACGAACTGGCTCTGGAATAGGTCATCGCATTCTGAGAATTCCTCCGTACCACTGCCAGTATAATTCAATTGAGCTGATCTGGTCTTAAATCAAAGGGTGTACAGCTCACCACAACACTGTACTAACATTCGGCACAAAAAAGATGATGGGCCTTTTAAAACAAGCCTGCGAAAAGGTCACAAGAGATGACTCGGCGAAGGTCGTCGAAAAAAACTAAAAAACTTATATTTGAAGATTTTGAGAGAGACATAAGAACTGATACTCGGATTGATCACTTGATAATTCTGGTTGGAGAAGAAGATAGCGACGACAGTTCCTCAAGCGTATCTGAATCGAATTAAATGAAAACACATTAAAATAAATTTTAGTTTTAATTAAGTTTTTGTTGTATTTTTTCGAGCAATAAATCAATAAAGTAATATAACATACCTACTTTTTTTATTACCTAGCAACTATATTAACGAGGTCTTGTCAAGACGAGTTATAAAAACGAAGCTGATGTCAAAATGTGTCACACATCACACAGTACATTGCTAGAGGCCGTTTCGAAACGGGTAATAATCACCTCTTTCTCCGTACCCGTTTCGTTTCGAAATGGCCTCTTCCAATGTACCCACTATGTGACACATTTTGACAGCAGCTTTGTTTTTTATGGCCGTTTTTAAAAAGTCTCGTTTTCATATTATTTCTCGAGTTGCGGATAAAAGTTAACAAAAAACAACGTTACTAACGTAACCATTATCGTATCGTTGTTAACGATATCGTTACGATAAAGATAATGTTATTTTTCCTAATTTAACGAAAAACGATTAATTTTTAATATACGTTATACAACGCACACCCCCAAAAAAAAAAAAAGGAGCACCAAGAAAACGTCCGAAACATAAAGCGCCCCAACAATGTATATACACAGTAATCTATGGGCGTCACTGTCACTGTCACTTGTCAAGATCGCATTCTCTGGCGGCCAAGACTTTATGTAGAACATTGCTTAATTATGGATTTAAATATTACATTAAATGGATAAATAGTTAATTACGCGCTATACAGCAAACATGAAATTTTTCCAGAAATTTGTCGCTAGATATTATTACAAATATTAATAAGAAACTTTTGTGATGGCTATCCTTATACGAAAATTCTTGTATAAGTATGCTAAATGTTTAGGTGTAACAGTCTTAACTACATTTTTTATTCAGATAATAATTTCTATCATCCTATTCCCTACCGTTAATGATAATTTGTTAAAAAAGTTTGGAGATACGTCTCTCGGAAAGCTTCAATTAAACGAGGTTTCAGCAAGAAAAATTAATGGGTATGGGGATGATGAAGACATCCCATCAAAAAGTCTATCGCATAAGGTTCATCCACATTTAAGAACTGAAGAATTAGATTTTACACCCGCTTGTGCAATTGAAAGCCGTGAAGCAATATCTGCAATCCATCGTGCGAAAACACAGAACTGTAAGCAAGAAATTGTTAACAAGACTTGTCTAATTCAAAATAGTAATTTTTACCCTGTCAAATTGCCTAACATGTGTCCGTCAAATGGTATGACTTACGGCAAATATTTAGGATGTTATTTAGATGAAAAAAAGTTTAGAATACTTTCGAGTTTCTATGGTAATTATGCTACTACAAATTCACCTAGTTTGTGTATAGAAATATGTATTCAAGCTGGATTTCCATATGCTGGAGTGCAGTATGCGTAAGTATTTACCATCTGGTATGTTCATATGTTATATTATTATATTTTTTATCTAATGTCATCTGATAAATCTTATTATTCTACTTGCTACAGGTGTAACTGTAGATGATAATGTCAATGTCCTGAGTTAAAATATTTTCAAACTTTGATATACATGTTGTCCTATTCCACTTTATTCTCATGATATATGTTTAGCATTTATATTTAATTTAATTATTTTGCATATTTGAAATTTTGGAACTAGTTGAACAGGCAATTGGTCAGGCAGATTTGTTAGCAGGGTTAATTCGGTAGTTGATAGTTCTCTTGGATTTACTAAAATAGATGTAAAAATGGTGCCTTCTATAATTTTTAACACTGATATTGTTTCCCATTTCACAACTGCTCAAAATCTTGAACTAATTATACAGAACACTCTCAGTTGGCAAACATATGTTATTGAATTGGGTCGAAATCACCAATACTTGAATTTTTTAGTATTGTCTGAAATTTTTTCTACTTTTGGGTCCAAAGGCAATGCTAATACATACATTAGTTGCCTAAACTTGATTATGCAAATGTTTGCTATGGTGATGTCTCGCAAAAACTAAGGAAACTGGATTTTCTACTGAATAACTGTATTATTTTATTGACTGAAATAAATATGACCATATATATTTCCTCCTTTCCTTCTCAACTTAAATGGCTGCCTCTCCGCTATCATAGGCTTACATAATTCTGCCTACATTATTCCCTGTCTTGTATGATCTGTCTCTGAATATTAGAAATACAAATTTCAGTATCAGGGTGACTCCCATAACCATTATCTTCGTTCTTCATAATTGTATTGTTCAAGTTACTTCATGTAGGACTTGCTATAAGTTTTTGGAACAAATTATCAAATAATATATGCATAGCCATGACCAAGGCGTCATTTTCCCCCCTTTTCCTTTTATCCTTAGCCTCTTAATCTGTTTTATTTTTTATTTTTTTGTTATTTTATGTTTTGATCAGATTTTTACTAGTTATATTTAACATACTAACATATATGTTGTATAGATACATAAGTTGTTTATACTTAAATATATATATATATATATATATATATATATATATATATATATATATATATATATATATATATACCAGCTGATTTCTTTTACCAAAGGGAAAAAATATTGTGCAGGTAAAAAATAGGTAAACAAAGTAGATTTTTTAACATACATAGTATGAAGTTACACTCATAAATGAAATTAATTAGCAAATTTATTGTTAGTTAATATGTAAGGTATCTACATGATCAAAACTACAGTATAAGAATGAGCGTTTCATCCAAACTTACAACTTTCATCATGCAGATTTGTAGCCATTACACCATTTACTATCACATACTTTTAGTTCTATCAAGGTGCCATATGATAGATTGTTTTCTTGTAGACATTACACTTTTTTTGCATATTCGGAAACATTTCCTTATCAATGACACTAAACAAATACTCTCATAGATAGTTTCTGTTCCACTTACACATTCCATTTGAAATTTTGCAGACCTATTAAAAACTATATAGACTATTTCATAGTATTCTCACAAGGATTATCACAATTCATGATAAATGCATGTTGGTTATTTATTGCTCAAAACATGACTATATATACATTTTACTGTTTTATTATGTTACTCACCTCCTTTAATTTATTTAATATTTCTTATAAATATATATCGTATTTTTTCAGTTCAGAATGCTTTTGTGGCGATATGACGCCTCCATTATCAGCTAAATCAATTGAATCATCTTGTGATATGAAATGTCCTGGAGATGCTTCTAAGATCTGTGGAGGATATTTTGCAATGAATATATATGAGACTGGATTGACAAGTATGTTTCTATGTAAAAATATCAATTAATTAATAATTTGTATTAATATTTCTGATAAACACAGAACACTTAACTCTCTAACTTTTACTTAGGCCGCAAGCATGGTGAAGCGTCGTCAGGAGTGGCAATTGATGAATATAATTAAATTTCGTGTGTTTTATCGATAATACAGGAATGTAAAAACACACTTCTTGGTCTTTTTCTCTACATGACATCAGTGGGCATGAAGGCATATTTATTAGGCTTTTACTTAGCCCTCAAATGTGTCATTTTCAGTGCCTTAAAGCAGCGCACATTTTTTGTGTGAAAATGCTGTTCTAGTCTGTAAGTACATAATACTTCAATATACTAGCGACCTGCCCAGAATAAGCACGAGGGGTAGCACTGAGTACCTCTGGCCAGATGACCTGTGGTTATCTGTGGTGAAATGGAAAGTGTTATACTAGGTTTTTCTAACTGCCTGGCACATAGTGCTCTTAAATTCAATTTATATTCAAATCTTTGTGACACTTATTCTTCACAAAGTATTAAGTTCTAAAACCCAATGTTAACTCCAAATTATAGTAAAGGTACTACATAATTAAGAGATTTTAATGTTAACCTACAATACCTACTCCTATCTCGCTGTCCAGTATACACTTCCAGTTCGAGTATATCGTCTCAGTAAAAGGCGCACAAGATTATATTATTTGTGTACGAAAAGCTAATTTGTAAAAACTAAACTACTGTACCATAAGGTTTGCAATAAAGAATTATAATCTAGATAATGATAAACCAGTGATTAAAGTTGATAAGAGTTTGTATTTTGTTACACAATGACTGTAAATAATGACTGGACGTCAACAAGTTAAGTGGGCTGGATGGCGTCCCTCTTATTGTGCTGAAGATGTGTGCTCTGGAGTTGGCACTGGTTTTAACGCGTCTTTTCCGTACTCCTACTCCCTCGGCGTAGTCCCGAAATCATTGAAGATAGCCCTCGTGCACCCGATCCCTAAAAAAGGTAACCGCTCTGATCCATCCAACTATGGGCCTATCGCCATCACCTCCTTGTTCTCTAAAATAACGGAATCCATTATTAACATCCTGCTCATGCTGTACCGTGAAGATCACCAGCTGAACGCCAGTACGGTTTTTTTTATAGGATAGGATGACAAACGAGCACACAGTCCACCTGATGGTAAGTGGTTGCTGTGACCCATAGACATCTATATCTATCCTCGATTACGAATTAAAATGCAGATGCGTTGTCATCCGTGAGGACTTAGGAGGAATGCCTCGTTTCCAGTATAAAGGGTCTCCGGTACGGTTTACGTCACGGTCGCTCGGTTGGTGATCTACTGGGTTACCTAACTCATAAATAGGCGGAGGCAGTAGAGTCCAAGGGAGGACTCCGGGTTAACTTTGACATCGGGACGTCAGTCACCTCAGTCCCACGTGACCATGGGTGCTGGAAAGCACCCGAAACGTCGGGTATTAAAAATAAAATAAATAAAACGCGATAAAATCCGTAAAAGTAGTTTTAATCAATGTACAGTGTTCGCGTAAATATAAGAAATCATTACGCGAACTTTTCTTTAGAACTAATTGAGAAGAGTAATGCCGCCATACTTTCAAAATTTTAATTTCAAAACTACAACGGAGGCTCTCAAGAGGCACAACTTTTTGCTGACTTAATAGATAATATTATCATTTGATAATTTGTCAGAAATAAGCATAAATTGTATTACTAAACCTTGTTCATGAATCTGTCTGTCTGTATAAGTAAAATCTGATAAAAAATTTCCTATTGTATTTTCTGAGATAAAGCGAACATACATATACGCGGCGAGGGCTTTATTTTATATGTATTGATAGATATAGATATGACAGTAACTATCATGATGTGTCAGCCAATATGTTCAAGAGCCAAATGAAGTTAAAATCTAAATAAAAATTTGAAGCAGTCTTATACACGATCCAATCAAGATAATTAACAGGCAACCACACCAGGCAAGGGGTGCGACTTTTTGGTGTTAGCAGTAGCAGAAAGTATTGATATTATGTGTAAAAACTGTAAAAGCAGTTTTGGCGAATATCCATACCATTTTCAAAAAGTACAAGAATAAACATCGGCAGAAAATTCACACGGGGACAATTTTATAATTGGCTTACAAAATTTGAATAATAATATTTTGTTGACAGATGAAGCTACATTTACCTGACTCCAGACGGTTTAATTCTCATAACAAGCATTGATGGTGCCGGTGTTATCACAACACATAATATGTATTAGTGAGATGAATATATCTTTTGAATGTTTCCTTATTTTGTTTCAGAGTTTATCCCGGTTACACCGAAACTGTCCAGTCATAACAAGGAATCCATTCGAATAGTTTTTCTTTTGACATTAAATGGACGAGCTCTCAGGCAGGTCTATAGATTATTAAATGTTCTCTACAGAAGTCATCACTATTTTTATATACATGTTGATAAAGTAAGTTAATTTTGTAATAATTTTTTATAATGATTTCTTAAATTTACGCGAACACTACACATTGAATAATAATAATAATAATATAATTTATTTAGTTCCAAACATATACACAAATTAACATAACATAATTATTTAATGGAATGAACTAAAAAGGCGTCTACTCAGTAGAAATGTTATAGAAACCACATAGTGGTAACTACAACTACTGATTTTCAGTAAACGCCAAAGACATAGGTGGAATAGAATAAACTTAACTTATTATACTAATCACAGGTTCCAACACTTATGAAAATACATACTTTACTTATATAAAAAAACACACTTATAACAACTTAAAAATAAAAATAAAACTGTTAGCAAAGCGCAACAAAAGGCATGTGCAAGGCACAAGACACACAATTAAATTATTTGACAAGATACAAAAGCAAAATAAATAAATTTACAATTAAGCAAGTATACGTTAGTTTTATAATATATAGACACAGTATACTTTATAAGAAAAATGTGATACATCGACACAGAATTCTACTCACTTTGCAAATTTAAAAGGTATTCTTTTAGTTTTATTTTAAAAGTGCCAACTGTTTTGCTGCCCTTGATCGGAGGCGGTATATTATTCCAACACTTTGTGGCAGCATACCGAAAGCTACCACGAAACGCGGCCGTTCTGTGTCTTGGGTACAATAATCGAACAGTTTCCCGCGAGAGACGTTCCGAGAAACTGAGCCTTTCATATAAGTATTTTGGTTGTTGATTTTGTAATAATTTATAAAGTAAACAACTGTAATGAACCGATCTACGAGATTTCATATTAATAAGTTTGCCCTGATTTAAAAACGGTGTCACATGGCCTCTACGAGGAATTCGATAGCAGAACCTAGCGCATGCATTTTGTACTCGTTGTATAACAAGTTTTGTTCGCGCAAGCAAACAGTCTCCCATGACAATGTCAGCATAATTTAGCTTAGAGAGTATTAATGACTCGCAAAGTTGAACCCTTAATTCTTCACTTAAGTATTGCCGGATATTATATAATATTTTTAATCTATAAAAACAATTTTTCACTGTATGCAAACATGATTTCAAACTATCTACGTCCTATTACCACCATACTTTTCAATATCGCCACCAACAATAATTTTGGGCTTATACATTCGTTCGTTCTATTAATTTCTTTGCCCCAAAACCATGAACTTGGTATGTTAAATGAGTTCATTATTACTCGCCCATTCAGCATCATACTTAACTCCTGATTTAATTTGTTAACTGCCTCATTTGTATCACTCGGCCTAAATGATATGTATACTTGAAGGTCGTCTGCATATAAATGATAATGGCAATATTTAAAACAGCTTGTAATATCAGCACTGTAGAGAATAAACAGTAAAGAACCTAAAATTGACCCTTGTGGAACACCACGAGTAACAGGAGACGCAGCAGAAAAAATGTTGGTACCAGTTTCATTTCGAAGTTTGACTCGCTGTGTGCGACCATTCAAATAACTTTCAAACCATTTTAATGCGTTACAATCGAAACCATAATACACCAACTTCGACAGAAGCAGTGTAATATTTATTGTATCAAACGCACGCGAAAAGTCAAGTAGAGTCAAAATTGTAGCCTCTCCGTTATCCTGCGCTGTCAGAATGTCATCGACAACACTCAACAGTGCTGTAACCTTAGTCCAGCCCTAAAACCTGATTGTTTAAGAGGTAAAATATTGTTCCGGTTTAGATATTCTATTAATTGTAAATAAATAGCCGTTTCAGCGATTTTAGATAAAAAAGGCAGTATACTTATAGGGCGAAGATGATTTAGTTCTATAGGATGATTATTTTTTGGTATAGGATTTATGATTGCTTCCTTCCAGATGTCTGGGAACACCCCTGTCTGTATAGACGTATTAATAATGGTGGTTATTGTTTTCAAAGTCCATGGCAATGTTAAGAGAACCATATCTTTAGTGATACCATCAACACCCATAGCATTAGTGGAAATATTTTTCAAAATTTCTGATACTAAATTTTCATCCACTAATTTTAAAGTGAAAACCGACGAATTGAAACGGTTAGATTCAAAATAGCATAATGTTGAAAGACTTACACTATTGCTTCCTGGCACATGTAGATAATGGTGATTTATTACGTCAGGATCATTCAAGTTTGATGGCAAAGCAATATCTTTTTTGTTGAAGTCTATCACATTTTTCTTTATATTTCTCCAAAGTACTTGAGAATTTTTTGAATTTTTATTAATAAAATATCGAAAGTAGGCTGTTTTTTCACTCAGTAAATCAGCATTAACAGTACTCTTCAGATCTTTATAATATTTTTTGTTTCCTTTTGAATTATGGCCCTTACATTTTGCATGAGCTTTATCTCTTAGCTTCATCATTTCTTTAATCGTTGGTGTGATCCACGGATAGCTTTGGCATTTTATGTAGGACGTTCTTATTGGTGCATGAATATCAAACAGGTACAAAATATGTTCATTGAAAGCCGTTAAAGAACTGTTTACGTCGCCGCAAAGCAACTCTTCCCAGAATACAGCATCAACATCAGAATTAAATTTTATTACGTTTATATCCTTAATTGGTCTATAAGTAATGGATGTTGAGGATTGCTTCGGCTTTTTTACGTTCAGCTCACAAGATAAAAAAGCATGATGACTCAGATCTGGCACATAATCAACCTGTATATTAGATACATCACAGCTACTGCAAATTAAGTCAAGTAAAGTTTCCGAGTGATCAGTAAAATGAGTCGCTTGTGTGACGTACTGCCTTAGACCCATACAAAGAAGAAAATCATTGAGCTTTTTAGAATTAGGATCAGAAGGTGCAAGCAAATTAATATTGAAATCTCCCAACAGTATAATATAGTCGTAGGCTGAGAATGAGCTGACTGTATCAGAAAGATCATTTATAAAATTATCAACGTGAAACCAAGGAGGACGATACGCGGTACCTATGGCAAGTTTCAGACCATTAGCTTTAACACCTAACCACATCTGTTCAATAGTGAGCGTACTCGGATGGTCCAGGACGCGAGCGTGGATACCATTTCTAATGTAAAAACCAACACCCCCTCCTCGTGCTCGGACGCTTGCAGGACGCGGTTTGTGTCGTAGCTTGTATCCTGGAGGGGACGGTGCGCGCAGTTCCTCACCTGGCTTCAACCACGTTTCATTTATCGCCATAATATCTACCGCATGACGATCAAGGGAAACCAAAAATATCATGTCGTGTACATAAGGAACCCGGATTCAGAAAACCAAGAGATAATTTTTTTTTACTAATAAATTGTATGATAAAAGAGTATGTTATCTGAACATATTTGCAATTAAATAAATATTTTCTTAGTAAAGTCCGATGTCGCATATCCACAAATGAACGCGTCGATAAATGCAATAATAATTTATGAAAAATAACGAACGTCTTGTAATATACAAGTATATAGGCTATTCCTAGAGTAATTTTATTTAAAAATGTTTTAACGCACACTGTGACATAGAAATTATTATTAAAAAAAAGACAATATAAAATGCTTGCGAAAAGTACAACTCTCAAAACTCTCAAAACATAAATCAAATTAAAAAAACAAAGAAATATCACCTCCCTCAACAATAGCACTAAATAGTTTAGAAAATAAAGTATACAAGTGATGAAAGGAATTTCCGTTGAAGATCTATTAAGAAAGCTTAGACAATTCCATATATACAGGTAAAACTTTATACAATATATTATTATTAGGCCATAAAAACTATTGTAACATGTCACATATTTCACAAGATAATTATATGTGTAACATAATTTAATACTTTGTCTAACACATAAATAAAACACTAAATTGTAAGAAGATATCTTTGAGTATATAACCTTTGTGTCATTATAAAATATTATTGAATATGTTGAAGCAAGCAAAAGTAAAATAATAAGCATATTAATACATTTATATATCTTAACTTTATATACCGCTAATCTGCCAGAATATAACAATGAAACGTATGTTAATGTAACATTTATGAAATAAAAAAAAGTAATTTAATGTTAGAAGTTTGTATAAAAATAATTATAAATAACATATTCTTATTATTCGCCGTGTGACATAGTTTTAGAGCCAACAGCTTCCACACCAAAAACCTTAGTCAAATCTTCTTCCGACCGAAGCCGATGTCGCTCACTCCCATGTTCCTTCCTTACATAAATCTTTCCATCACGTGACCATACATACTTCCAACCAAGCCTTTTCGCTGTCACACGGGCTTTATAAAATAACCGGCTATTGTGCTTAGTAAGACGCTCGTTGACATAGATGGTGCGAGCTATTCCCGTCAGTCCCAAACCTTCAGTGGTGATATTGCGTCGTACTCGTGCCGCCTGTATTAGAGCATCACGCTGAGCACGACGCGCCAATCGCAGGACTAAAAGGTGTGGCCGCGGAACTGAAGAGCTCTCGCCATTATCACGTATAAAACCTGTACGCTCTGAAGACACCACATCGCGCTCATCCAGGTCCACGCATAATTTCTTGGCAATAGCCAAGATAATATGTGTGGTATTTTCACCACTCGTTTCAGGGAATCCCGCTATCTGGATATCATTAGCGAGTAAGTCTTGGTCACGTTCCAATATTTGTGACTTCAACTGTGACACTGTCTCTTCCAAAGTCGAAACTTCACAGCGTTGTAAGCCTTTTGACTTGTCTTATAAGGCTGATATTCTGGTTTCGATGGAGTCAATGCGGCTGCTTTGCATCTTAATGGCAGTCATAAGATCTGTCATAGAATTACGGAACAAGCGCATCTCAGCACGGATTGCCTTCATTTCACCAAGAAGCAGTTTGAAGTCCATAGCTGTATCATCGAGCGATTCTGACATAATATTCTCCATGATGATGCTGTCCTCTTCATGAATGTTCTTGTCCTGAGTATTTTTTGTAGGTGGTTTGCCGCGGACTGCCACATTCGAGTTCTCTGGTGATACAACGAAAGTCGGAGGACTAGAAATTTCAGACTCAGCAGTACGCACTGGTGTATTCAAATTATTCGTTCGCGGGAGTTTGCTCACACATGAAAGGCATTTCCAATTATCTTTACGCTCCTTATTAAACGAATAAAAAGAATAGAAGCGTTTACTACTTATATTTAGACATTCAATGTCATAGACTCCTTTACAATTACAACAACGTAGATATTCTCCTTTGGGTAAAGGTTTCGCACATGCAGCACAAGTCTCAGTTGGTGGCGACATCATTTCACACAATAGATTCAATATGACTAACAATCTAGGACTTACTTCAAAATTAAAATATTCCCAAATCAGATGAATGCGCGCGCCCTCTAATGGGTGACCGTAGACTTAATCTAACAGATCGATTAGCATAAGCTCGTACCTATCTATATTTCGCCAGTAATTAGTAGATGGCGTGATAATTCAAAAATAGTTATTCTCTTCAGGTAATCTATTATCACATAGATGTCGCTGATTTAATCAGATGTAGAGTAACATAAATTTAAACATTTCAAACTACCATAACCGTCACTTTAATACAAAATTTATGTTTTTTCACTTTAACACAAAAATAGAGTGTTGATAGCAATGTGACTTAGTTCGTTAGTACTGTACCTTAGCGCTTCACTTTAAAAAACACTGTCTTATTACAATAAATTCAATAATACAACAATTGATAGTTCACTATTACTACACAGATTACTTTCATCAACTTTGCACTGTTAATATAGCTCCAAACAGCGAGATAACACTCTACACACTAAATTACGTTAGAATTAATACTTAGATTATAAAATAGTTACGTAAAGTTTGTTTATAATATTTTTAAAACAAAAATTATACGGAGCCTATGTTAACTGCTCAAATAGCGCCACCTGTCAATCCACTATTATTTACGGATTTTATCGCGTTTAATTCAACTTTAATTTATTTTTATTATCCCGACGTTTCGGGTGCTTTACAGCACCCTTGGTCACGGGGGGGACTGAGATGTTTGATGTCCCAATCTCATAGTTAGTCCGGCTACCTTCAGTTTTTGAATATTAATTTTTGGTCCGATTTACGCAAAATGAGCTTATAGAAGTCTCGCAGTGGTATGCTTGGGTTTGGGTTGGTTGGTTTGGTACAACTGCAAGACTTCATGATACTATAAGCTCATTTTGCGTAAATCGGACCAAAATTTAATATTCAAAAACTGAAAGTAGCCGGACTAACTATGAGATTGGGACATCAAACATCTCAGTCCCCCCGTGACCAAGGGTGCTGTAAAGCAGCCGAAACGTCGGGATAATAAAAATAAATTAAAGTTGAATTAAACGCGATAAAATCCGTAAATAATAGTTTTATTCAATAATTTTTTATATTAGATTTACATTAGTTATGCAGACCCAACCTTTTGTAGTGCTACTGAATGAAATGGAACGAATGAGATGGATATGAAATGAAATCCAGAACTATATATGATATATTTTGTAGTGACAGTTTCGGTTGGTCCTATGACAGGCGTAGAAACGTAAAGATTTGTAAATTTTTATTAATAATTTATCAATAATTTAGTTTTAGTACTTATTTCTTATTTCGATAAATTCAGGCTGTGTTGAATCTACTTATGGGGTTTTTGGTGCAGCCTTCATGAATATTTAAATTAAAGGGTGGCACAAAAGTCGCAACACCATTTTAGAATGGAGTAACTTTTTCATTTCTTCATAATTTACATTTATTCTTTCATAAACAGAAAAACACTTCTTGAACATAATATTTATTTAGCTTTGAAAATAACAGCCTTTAAATAACTGCCATGTTGCTCTTCACACTGACGCGCTCTTTCTAAGGCGTTATTCATCACCCGCCGTAATGTTTCTTGACTTATCCCTCAAATTTCTTCACGGATGGTTGGCCTTCAATTGTTGAATAGTTAGAGGATTGATATCTTTTAATTACCATCACAGAAAAAATAAAAATCTGGAGCAGCTTAGTCAGGTGGGGGTAGTGGCCAGTTAAGTATCGTCGCCCATAATGAGATTTTAAATGAAATCAGCTTCATGCCTTGCCAATTATTGTATATGGACCGCATACGCCAATCGAATTCGGTAACCTACTGGCTTCAATTCGTGCACTAGCTGTATTTTATACAAATAGACTTGTAAAATCCCTTGCATCTTCTGGAGCGAGGTTTCCATTCCAACATTCCAACTGCTGGGACCGCCTTCCAGTTGACTATGCAATGCTTCGGCGTACACGCTGAATGTTGTCCCTTGGCCTTCCTGAAGTTGGCTTCCCAGCATGTGGTAAATCACTCATAGAGCCTTGAATTAGAAACCGTCAGAATAAATGAAGTGTAATTGGTTAAAATGGTGGTGGTCTCTGACACCAAAATGACTAGTGCAGGCTCTTTGCATTAACACAATATTGACTGTGTGTTTTCTATACAGAATTCGATTATTTTAACATGTTGCTCAGTTTTTAATTTCTCCATAATTAATTTCGAAGAATAATCTTTTAATAATTTAAAATCAAATTGAAATAAAATAAAAAATTCCGAAACCGTATTTGAATTTTAAATGGTGTTGTGACTGTTGGGGCACCTGGTATTTCGTTGGAAAGATTGGAACTTATAACACTACATTGAACTAATGACACAAAAACATTAAAAACGATATTACTCACCTTTTTTTAATTTGAGCTCAATCAACAAAATATTTTTTCAGCGACAAGATTACATGCATCGCAAGTTATCGGTTTTGGAACAGCAATTTCCGAACGTGAGATTAGCAAGAGAACGTTACGCAACTATTTGGGGTGGCGCATCATTACTAAAAATGCTTCTATCATCAATGAAAGATTTCTTTGCATTAGGCTGGCGATGGGACTATGTTATTAATTTGAGCGAAAGTGACTTTCCTATTAAATCTCTTGAAGATTTGGAGACGTTTTTGTCAGTGAATAAAGGTTTAAATTTTGTCAAGTCACATGGCCGCGAAGTACAGAGATTTATCAAGAAACAGGGTTTGGACAAAACTTTTATCGAATGTGAAACACACATGTGGCGTGTGGGCGAAAGAAAATTACCACACGGAATTGTAATAGATGGAGGTAGTGATTGGATAGCACTGTCTCCGGAATTCGTATCGTATGTTGTTGGGAAACAAGATGAATTGCTTAGCGGCTTGGATATAATATTTGAACATACATTATTACCAGCAGAATCTTTTTTCCATACTGTTCTAAGAAATTCCAAATTTTGTAATACATATGTAGATAACAACCTGCATGTTACCAACTGGAAAAGAAAATTGGGTTGTAAGTGTCAATATAAACATGTGGTGGATTGGTGTGGATGTTCTCCAAACGACTTTAGGACTGAAGATTGGCCGAGAATACAAAATACGCTCAACCGTCAATTGTTTTTTGCGCGAAAATTTGAACCTATAATTAATCAAGAAGTAATAACAAGGGTGGAACAACTCATAGGATTAAATGACCATTATCGCGTCCAGAACGTAGAGGGATATTGGCAAAACATATATGATACCCAAGACATACCTGCTAGTACAGATGACACGTTACTATCTCATGCCGGAAGTATTTTACGCCACAATGCTAAGACTTTACTTCAGGAAGGCTGTAAAATGGAACTTGGTGATATTCTAGAAATTAATTTATATAAATATGCTGATATCTACAAAGGAAATTTGATTTTATACAAAGCGTCAATACATGGTACAGATGAATTATTAGTAGAAACATGGTATAAACCAAAACACCATTTAGAACTAAATTTCCAGAGTCAGTATATTGATTTAGTTAAAATGTTTAAAGTTAGTTCAGAATATGATCAAAAGGAGATGACTTTTAGAAATTTCGCTAGTATTTTAGGACCATTATCGGAACCAGTTTTGGTTTATCAGTTTTCTCCGCAAATGGATAAACTTAATACAAACTTTACTATAATTTGGCTTGATCCGTCTGGTGTCATAGCTGACGTAAGTACTATTCATAAAGAAGAAAATAATGTGACTAACTTCATTAAACTAAATATAAGGACACCACTTTTGCCAGGGGTGTGGAAAGTAGGTTTACTTGAACAAAACAATGCGCTCATAGCTGTTACAAAATTCCTTGTTACTCCATTAGAGTATTTTGCTGGCAGAGAAATGTCCCATCAAGAGACTAGTTTAATTCATAGCGGGTCGATGAGTTCTTATAAAAACTTTTCTTACTTAAAAGACATAGATTTTTTGCCAGGAGTAACAGATAGTTTATTGCTAAGAGAACTTACTGAGTCAAATGTTAGGAGAATAGGTCAGGACCTACGAGAGTGGATTGACAGTTTAAGTGTTGCATTTTACGATGTTTTAGGTTCATGTGTTAGAATATATAGTAATAATTTAAAAGAAAAACTAGTGTGTGGAAATTACAAGTTTAGTGAATGTGTTTCAACTGAATGGAGTTCCCTATCACCAGACCCAAAAGGTACGATTGGTAAAATAAACACACTTACAGGACGCTTAGATAGAATATGACTTAAAAAACAACGAAATTCTATTCCCGATAGCAGTATCAGATAATATGACTGATTTGTGTTCAGTCAAAAATTTTATATATTTTAGTTTTTCAAGCAGAACTTACAATATTTCAGTAATTTGTTAAAGATGATAGTTATAAACTTTCAACTAAATCTTTTGGTCCTTTAAAAATATACACATTTAATGTCTCCTTTTTAAATAATAGTCTGTGCAACAGCCTCAACAAGCAGTTTTAAAATCTTGTAAATATAAATAAACCTAGTAATATAAGGAAAAATATTTATTTTTTCAATGAAATATACTATTATGAATGAATTGTACATAAAATAAATATAAATACTGTTATACCATATTTGCATTTTATTTTGCTTTACTGATTTTAAATTATTCTTAGTAGAAAGACTAAGCGTAAACGGCCTTATAAAAATGGGTGTCACACAGATGTGCTAAAAGTTGCTCTTCTCGTTACCATAAATGACAATAGAAAGAATTAGGCATATTTATGATATATTAATTAGCCAAATAGGCGACGGTAAAATTAAATAAGAATTTTTGAAAAGAGACAACCAGTTCTGGAAGGAATATATGAGGCACCTTTAGTAAAATGCCACAATAACTGTATACGTCCAGCTAGTCGTCCCTCGATACGGGAGATGTATAAATCTAAGAGACCATAGCTCACATACGTCTAAAAACATACCGATAGCATAACATTTAAATTAAAAAAAAATTACCTGTTCTATTTTTGAATTTTTTATCTGTTTTTTTTTTTAATTTCATGCATTTCCCAAATATAAATTCACTCCGTCAAGTTGGACACACGCACATACAAAAGGTACATGTTCGGTAATACAGCCGCTTCACAAAACAAAATTATTTTATAATAATACTGAACCTGCGCCCCACTCTCCTTCAAGTGTTCACAGTGAGTTTACATTTTAATTCCTACTACTCCTAGATTATACATCCATTCATTAAAATAATACTCATATTGATATTGTTTATTAAGAGTTATTGATACGTGTGTTTTGAATTTATTTCTTGTTAATTACACTGGTCGGCAAAAAAAAATCCGGGAGCAAAAAGTTTACTGTGTGATTTCTATTGGCTTTGATTTGTTGAGTCCAAATCTGTTTAAAGATTTCAACTATCACCTCTAGCTTTTCAGTTATTTACATTTAAATAAAATATCGGTATTGATATATATATATTAAATATGTATATATTTTAGAACGAAAAAATTTACACTGATTGATGACTTTTACAACACAAATTAAAATGAAATATGAATTAAAAAAATATAAAAAAAACATAAAAATGATAACTATTTGGTAGATCGCTTTCTTTTATACTTTTTAACTGCTGTTTCTCTATTTATTTCCCAGCAAAAATCAGCTAGCATTGCTGGGGTCCACTTGCCGCTGTATCTTTTTTCCATATGTGCAATGTCTAGGTGGAATCTTTCACCATGCTCATCAGACACGGCACCAAGATTTTCTGGGAAAAAATCTAAATGCGAATACAAGAAGTGAATTTTTAAAGACATATTGCATCCAAGTTGTGATACGACGAAAGCAGTTTTATCAGCTCTGTGTAATTTTCAGCCTTTTTATTGCCAAGAAAATTGTGACATACATTTTCAAAAGCTACCCATGCTCTTCTTTCTTTATCTACCAACTTTGATTTGAACAGTAGAACAGACTCAGAACACAACTAAATACATGTACATACCAACGTTCACAAATACCGCTGCCTGCAACTATAAGCAAACAATTCTAGTGCAAACAAAAAATGCTATTGCGTCGAAACTAGACGTGCTAGGTGAATTCTAACTACATATTTGGATTTAACGTGTACGATATATTACTTTCCTCTATGATTTAACGTAACTAACGTAATAACTTCCATATATATTTTTTTTTTGCTCTTATTTTGATGCCGACCAGTGTTATTTACTACCTACTAGAGGCGACACTGCATTCAGCTACTCTGTTCCACTCAACTGCGGTACATACACCGCACTTTAATCAGTCACTCGCTAGGCGCTGTAGAGTTGTCAAGTGTTGTGTTGATTTAAAAAAATCTCTTGATTAAAATATGCCGTTGTGTGTACTTAGATATTGCACAAATAATTCAAGAAATGTCCGTAAAAACCAAGGAATTACTTTTCATCAGTTAATAAGATACTTAATCAATAAAAAGTATTATAGATTAATAATAAAACAAATTATTCCTGACACGCCATCTCGTGTCATGAAATATAGATTATGAAATTAATATTGTTGCGTGAATAAGTCAACTAGCGCCATCTGATGTTATTTTCTCAATGCTCCCCTCGCTCTCGTTCCTGACACTAGATGGCGCTAGTTGACTTATTCACGCAACACTGCCCCCTCCTAAGACATGCTCGTCCCGAGCATTATCGGTCCCATAATAACGCGCCAAGCGATCCACATGGACGATCTTAGGAGTCCCTCTTGCGCCTTTCTGTAACGGCTCCGCAATGTCAAGGGCTGTCCTATCCCGTGGTGCACCAACATTGTACAATTTCGGTGCTCCTCTACTACGTGTCTGAGGTCCCCGCACGGCCGCACAACTTGTACATGTACGACACCAATCCTCGACATCGTCACGATAATGGACCCAGTAAAACTGTTCTCGGACCTTCAGTAGAGTTCGTTTAACTCCCAGATGGACTCTTGAACGACCATTATGGCACAGCTGTAGAACATTCGGCACTTTAGCTTTAGGGACAACCATTTACAAACGACAGCTGTCTCTTCGACCATTGTCCCATTTACGGCACAGGACTCCATCCTGAATCAGCAAGCTGCCCCATTGGGCCCAATAGCTTTTCGTGGTTGAACTCATCGCTGAGACGTCCCTCCACTTAGGCTTGGTAGCACGGGCCTTCATCCATCCCAAAATCGGCTTGATGTCTGGATCTTCCTGCTGGGCATATCGTAGGCTGTCCTTCCACCCGTTGCTGAGGTGGTCTGTCCTGAGCATCCTCACGGATACCACTTCCTTACTCTCTTGCCTACTACAATGGTTGCAATCTTCAGGACAAGGTCTTCTTGACGATGCATCTGCGTTGCCATGAGATTTCCCGCTGCGATGTCTGATAGTAAAGTCGTATCCCGGCTGCTGCTGGGCGGTGATGTTAGCCGCACTTCCCTTCTGAGATCGTTCATCTTCCCTTTCTAGGGTTCGCTTAGGGCAGCTGGATCGAAGATGGCCCTTTTCCCCACAGCCATAGCACCTAGGGCTGAATCCTTTATAGCCTACAAAATCCAGTTCGAGGCTGTTATGAAGGCGAACGCCTGGAATAAAAGTCAGGCCATGACTGCTCTCACACTAGGCCTGCGCGACCAGACCTTAACAGTTCTGGAAGCTCTCGGTGAGTAAGTGACTTATGAGCAACTCCTTGAGGCATTGGAGGCGAGATATGGCGACGCTCCCCTGGAACACGTCTTTCGTGCGCAACTTAAAGATCGTGTGCAGCGCATCAACGAAAACCTGCAGCAGTGGGCTCTAGAAGTGGAGAAGCTGGTGCGAAAAGCATACCGATCTGTACCTGCGCTCATTGAAGGGAACCTGGTGCAGACATTCATCGACGGCATCCGTGACCTGGAAGTCAGAGCTGCTGTGAGGCTCGGGCACCACGAGACGCTTAAGGACGCCTTGGCCCATGCACTGGAGGTGGAAGCCGTGCGACAGGACCATCGTTCCCATCGCGTCAGGGAGGTTGCAGCAGCTACAGTTCGCGACTGCAACAAAGGATACAGCCCTAGGTGCTATGGATGTGGGGAAAGGGGCCATCTTCACTCCAGCTGCCCTAAGCGAACTGTAGAAAGGAGAGCTGATCGATCTCGAGAGAGTAGTGCAGCTAACGGCACCGCCCGGCGGTGGCCGGATCGTCGTTCCCCTTGCGCTAGGGAGGGTGCAGCAGTTACGGTTCGCGACCATAATAAAGGATTCAGCCCTAGGTGCTATGGCTGTGGGGAAAAGGGCCATCTTCGATCCAGCTGCCCTAAGCGAACCCTAGAAAGGGAAGATGAACGATCTCAGAAGGGAAGTGCGGCTAACATCACCGCCCAGCAGCAGCCGGGATACGACTTTACTATCAGACATCGCAGCGGAAAATCTCATGGCAACGCAAATGCATCGTCAAGAAGACCTTGTCCTGAAGATTGCAACCATTGTAGTAGGCAAGAGAGTAAGGAAGTGGTATCCGTGAGGATGCTCAGGACAGACCACCTCAGCAACGGGTGGAAGGACAGCCTACGACATGCACAGCAGGAAGATCCAGACATCAAGCCGATTCTGGGATGGATGAAGGCCCGTGCTACCAAGCCTAAGTGGAGGGACGTCTCAGCGATGAGTTCAACCACGAAAAGCTATTGGGCCCAATGGGGCAGCTTTATTCCGGATGCTTCTTTGCTAATTTATATAAATAGGCGCTGCAAGATGCGATCGAGGCAGTATTGTATTTGGCGAGACAAGCGAAGCTTCGGAGCGGAATAAAGTGAATTAGTGTGTTTAATTATTAGTGTTTTAAGTTTTAATTTGTGTAAAGTAAATTAAAGTGTTAATTTAGGTAATTTTATCGGCAATTTTTATTGTCACGAACCTCAAGCTCGTAACAATATGTTCAGATGTGACATTTCTGTGGGTACTTAAGTATAGGACGAATATATTATTATACACATCTTTTTGTAGAAACATATGTAAGTTATTATAATTAGGCTAATTTTTCATGTTTAAATCTGCTTATTATTCTTTTATTTTATTTTTAGGTTTCCACATCAAAGTCAAAGTGCTTGGCATAAATTCGTCCATTTTTAACTCTCGCGTGCCCAGCATTTATGAACGACTCTTATTTTAATTTAAATAAATATATTTGTAATTTAAATGTTACGTTAATAAGTTTTGTTAAACATACATTTAGTATGTTTTTTATATTTGACATAGATACCTTTTAAAATATTCAGATA